GATCGACTTCTTGACTTGGAATATGCGGCTGACATTGTTCTTACCTGTGACGGATAAACGCGCCGAACTGTACTAGACAGATTAGCACTGATTGTCAATCGTTTTGGGCTTTGCTTGGCACCCTCGAGATGTAGTCCTTCTGCAAGTTTTGCTGGATCCGGCTTCTGTGCTAACCCTTTGTTGGGATCAGGTAGAAGTCGTCAAGAAATTCAAGTATGTCAGCAGCTATAGTAACACGTGTGGAATAGACGATGGGACCACGACACACAGCAAAAGCTCTAGGCGCTTTTGCCGATCTCCGTCACCTGTGGCGCTGACGCGACATCGCTCTCATCCTGAAGGGCAAAGTTCATAACGGAGCCGTCCGTTCAACCTTCCTGCGCGATTGTGTAACCTGGCTTAGTAGATCGACAGACATAAAGGGCCAGCCACGTTCGATCATCACTGCCTTCGCACTTACCTTATTCCTGGTGGGAACATAGTGTGATAAATGAGCGTGTTCGGCGTGGCCTTTTTGATACAGGAGGATCGTGTGAACCGTTCAGTACCGTTAGATCACGTACGTGCGTCCGATGGCTGGGCCACAGACTCGCCCGACATGCTTGTTTGCGTGCGCGGGGTGTGGATGGAAGAAGATGAGAGTGGCAAGACTGAATGAAATCCCTCATTTCGAAGGTGGCGTCGGTTGGTGTTTCCCGACCGCCAGGCTTGGGTCCCGAGGACGATGAACGCGTTTGGTTGGATACACTGCTTGACATGACGTTGATGCGGACCCATTGTCATGTGTCGTGTTTTTTGTCTCTCCTCCCACCATGCTTTCACACTCCAAGCATAGTATGATCATTAGCATTATATTTCTTTTGCTTTTTTATTCTACAATTTTAGTGTTTTCCTCTTTCATATATCTTTTATTTTTTACTTTGTGGCGCAATGGTCGAAGTGAGTTTCTCACCTTCAGATAGCGTGTACTGATGATCAAAGCCAGGACCTTTCGAGTGGATGTGAATCAAACCTACTCTGCGTCTGTGACTAGTAGCGTTCTCTAAGACCTTGTCTTATGATGAGAACTCTTCAAGCTCTATGTCAATGATCTCCCGGCAACATTTGGCCTGACTGCTTAGTTTACGCAGTTGACATCAAGCTTGGTCGGAATCATTTAGCCTTAAGGACGATTACATGCTTCAAACAATGTGTCATGATTGGTCCATCAAGTAGAGACTCCCTGTATACGGCGACAAATTACCGTTCTTTTTATCGGTGATCCAGATCCACACGGTTTGCGTTGCCATGGTAGGTGCTTTCTCAAGAATGTCACGCACAAGAAGGATCTTGAAGTACTCGTATCACCTGACCTTAGAACCTCACAATAAACACCGAGGAAGGCCGCACTCGCCAACAGGATGCCCTGTGCCTTACGTAGATCATTCTGGAGGTTTTTCGTCCCATTCTAGAGTATAGATTTTCAGATGCTCATCCTCTATGGAACCTTAAACACCTTTTTTTGAAGGTTCACAGGCATGGTTCGTAATCTGTCTTGGACCTTACCTGCCCTCTTCGACTTCGGAACCTTAACTTGTTTCCCATAGAATATCGTCGTCGTGTACATCTAAGTTACACCCGACGGATCATAAGGGGAGAAATCGAGAGTGAGCCACAACAATTCTTTCGGCTCAGCGTGAACTGCTTGACATAGGATCACGAGTGAAACTTGTACAAATAAAGTATACTTCGCGTTTGTTCCGAAGCTGCGCTTTCTACCCGGATGGTGAATGATTGGAACCACCTACCGGAGAAAGTTGCTATTACGCAGACAAAGGGATTTTAAACGGCTGCTAGATCGCCGTCTGTTGGGTACGGTAGGGTCCTGCTGCTCTTACTGCAGCAGCTACTATTCCGAGGAGCCTAGCTAGCTTCCTTATATCTGTCTCTAATGTGATCGCTTGTCGAACGCAGCTGATCATCAACAGCAGTACACCAGACGCTGCCGCTTCGATTTTATCTGTCTGGCGGTCTACCCCTATTTTGAATGTAAGGTCATTTGGAGTACACCTTGTGTGATTGGATTGCGACGCGCACTCTCATTGTAGACCGCAACTCACATCGGAGTGAACCTTGGTTAGTGCGAGCACTAGGACCGTAGCCGAAGCAGAAGGAGATTGTATATTACCCGCAATGTTCTCAGGTGGGCAACACCCAATTTCCATTTACTGCTATTTTGTTTTATATTATCAGTCCTTCTGAACTACCGTGTGTTTCAAAAGTCACGTCCTGTTTAGTCCGTTGCTCGGTGAACAAAGTGCATGCCTATAGGTGATACAAGAGCGCACTAAATTGCCAACTGTCTAATGGTAGACGTTGCTCTTTCTAGCTTCCTCTTACCCGGACAGAGGGGTGTGAACGACTGCGTTGATGGCCGTGTGCCAGGCAACAGAGTCGCATACTCGCTACCTGTGTGTCTGACGTTGGATGGACAAATGGTATTCGCCGATGATCATTAAGATATATGTTAAAGACCCTCTTGACCTTTCCCCATCATGTCTTAATCGTTCTGTCGGCTAAAGTCGGAAACGGTGGCCCGAACGTTCAGCTGTTAGACTGGTTTCGAAAGCAATACTGACATGTCGAGAGCATACTGTAATGTTAAACCTCTACCAAAAGAATAAATTCAGCATAGGCGTAAGTTTTTCAGTGCGACTGATTCAGACTCGTACACTTGTATACATGCTACAAAATGGGTAAACACACGATGAGGGTCGGTGTTGTGTACTCACTGTGAGCGAACTCTGCTAATTGCTGTCCATCCGATGAGCAGAGCACCCTGTGTGTGGTTCAGCGGTTCAAAGACCACAATCTGTTCGGGACAAAGTAGCCGAACGAACCCTTCCCAAAGGCTCGACTTCAGTCAGTAACATCGCATCTGGATGGGCTTATGCACTTCAAAGCTGTGTCAAACCATCATCAATACCAGCAGCAGCCCATTAACCAGCTGGACTATTGCTTCTCTACCATACAATCATAACGACGTAGGGAACGCAAAATAATGAGAAGAGAAGGGGACTAGCGTAAAACCTTCAGGCCCTCAGCAAACATTTAGGGTCAAGGTGCGGACAAACTGTCAACAACATACCGCCACAAAGGGCTGGACATCGTCCAGAAGTAAGGCGGCATCGGAGAGACCGCCTGATTGCAGCTTTTATTGCCCCGTGAAATGACCAGCCATTAATCTGTGGATATATCAACACCATACACACTTTAAACAGTCAGCCTAACTAGGAACCATGGTTTATGACGGTCAAAAGCGTATAAGCCTAATATGTCGTAAATTGTTGATAGGAGGAGTTACAATTTCGTATACAGGATCTTCATTCCAATACAGAATATGGCTGCACGTGCAACCGGTGTTGCTGTCGCAATGGTCGAAAGATAGAAAGGATTTATTGCCCATCCAAAAAATGTATTTCCTGTTCACAATACACTGATCCCTCGGGAGCATCTAATGCCTAAGAACTTGGGAGGGCGCTTAAACGACTCTGTCGACTGTCATAATAATAGCGAAATTATCAAATCGCGCCCTATTCAAGATAGTCCTTTCCAGCAGTTGTGTGAAGAGATCAGTGAAGATCTCCAAGTCCTACTGTTGCATACGGAAGGTGGATGGCTCTCGAATGGCAACTTTTTTCCCTGTTTTGTTGCGCTCTGGGATACCATCGTCATATTCTCTTCTGAAATTGATCATGAAAAAACTGTTAACAGCTAAACCAGACGTGCTTTGTTTGGCCGATGTTAATGAAAAACAACTTCATAAAAAGACTTTTCAAGGCAAGTTAAGTAATCTTATCTCGAGTAAATAAACCATTGTCACTTTTCTTAAACAGTTGGAAGTGTATGCTCAAAACACCGGACGTTAAAATCCAGGAGTCTGATAGAGCTTCAAAGTGATTCACTAGCAAGATCCAAATTAACGTAATATAAAAAGATTTATGGATAACAACTGATGCCCCTAACAAATATCCCAGATTGTGGGATGATGTCCGGCCCTTTGTGGCGGTATGTTGTTGACAGTTTGTCCGCACCTTGACCCTAAATGTTTGCTGAGGGCCTGAAGGTTTTACGCTAGTCCCCTTCTCTTCTCATTATTTTGCGTTCCCTACGTCGTTATGATTGTATGGTAGAGAAGCAATAGTCCAGCTGGTTAATGGGCTGCTGCTGGTATTGATGATGGTTTGACACAGCTTTGAAGTGCATAAGCCCATCCAGATGCGATGTTACTGACTGAAGTCGTGCCTTCGGGAAGGGTTCGTTCGGCTACTTTGTCCCGAACAGATTGTGGTCTTTGAACCGCTGAACCACACACAGGGTGCTCTGCTCATCGGATGGACAGCAATTAGCAGAGTTCGCTCACAGTGAGTACACAACACCGACCCTCATCGTGTGTTTACCCATTTTGTAGCATGTATACAAGTGTACGAGTCTGAATCAGTCGCACTGAAAAACTTACGCCTATGCTGAATTTATTCTTTTGGTAGAGGTTTAACATTACAGTATGCTCTCGACATGTCAGTATTGCTTTCGAAACCAGTCTAACAGCTGAACGTTCGGGCCACCGTTTCCGACTTTAGCCGACAGAACGATTAAGACATGATGGGGAAAGGTCAAGAGGGTCTTTAACATATATCTTAATGATCATCGGCGAATACCATTTGTCCATCCAACGTCAGACACACAGGTAGCGAGTATGCGACTCTGTTGCCTGGCACACGGCCATCAACGCAGTCGTTCACACCCCTCTGTCCGGGTAAGAGGAAGCTAGAAAGAGCAACGTCTACCATTAGACAGTTGGCAATTTAGTGCGCTCTTGTATCACCTATAGGCATGCACTTTGTTCACCGAGCAACGTACTAAACAGGACGTGACTTTTGGAACACATGGTATGTTACGCAATCGTCTATCTCTTGAGTTTGAAGTGTATCAGCTCTTTTATTGTATTTTTTATATTTTAGTGCCACTGCCGTTCGTTTTCACGGAAAGCTTGACTGACGTGCTTCGACCTCGACGATCACGCTTTCGTTGCAGTTATGATCATAAAGGAATTGTGAGTTTCACTTTTCTATGAATGGAGTTCTATTGCCTATCTCTTTCGCATGGACTTTGTACATCCTTTGATCTTGGTAGTGTTCAGCTGCTATGCAGTAATTTTCGAAAAGTTAATAAGACTTCCTCTCCATAACACCAACCTTTGGATCGCTGGATTAGTATCTGTAGCGTGTAGTTATGCGCTCGATATTGTATGCAGTCCACCTGAATGAATTCCTTTGCATGTTTTTCATTTTTCTACTTTGGTTTGAGCCCTGTCGACGTAATCGCATGGAGCTGCACAGCCACCATACTCTGGTCATCTTCAAGTGTTTTCAGTTGTCTTCATCTCACCCCCCTATAGACAGTTTTTCTGATCTTGTGCTATAATTGTTTTCAGAAAGCGTCGCAGTTGTCACATAACCTGCTCACATTTTGCTTGAAGATGCGTGTTTTGGAGTCTGTTGATCTCTGTGCACACAGCTTTAAAGCTGACTGTTGCGGACTTGACTGTACGTTGCTCCTTATTCATCCTATTTAACCTTGGTGTGTTCCAAAGCCAGTTTAGGATTATGGCTCCATTAGCGACACCACACTTGGGCGTTTACCAAGCACGCATTTTGCGCCACGTACTTTGATGGGCAACTCGCAGGCACCGACTCCTTTTATTTACATATCAAAGCATTCCGTTGTACATTACCTTAGGTATGCATTCATACAACCAGCTTTTGACCTTGTGAACGTCTCTTTTCTAACGAACACGCACAAGAGTGTTTGCTTTTGCTTTGCTCATACTCAGCACTTTCATTTGAACGGTCCATTACCTGTCACATTTAGTTATGGTGGTGCTTTGGCTAAGGCATGCTCCCATAGTTTTGTACGCTTGACTTGCCAACTTCGCATTTGTTTATTGTTCGTCGGTTGATACACTCTGACTCCACGGTTAGCCTTCATACATGGTTTACGTGTACCATCCTCAATTTTATTCTGCCGTGTCATTCGTATTCTTCTTTAACATCCCTTAGGTTTTATGCGTAAACAATACTTTGTAGCCTGAGCTACCTTCGTCGCTCCATTATCGTCTTTCTGTTGATTCTACCTGCGGCTCACTCACGAAGCGGATCCCTTACTGTTATAGAGACTTGTTGGATTCCAGTTTTGTTTTATTTCTTATGCTAACTGGGATACGCAAGACCTCAGCTTTTCAGCTCGATGCGATACCAGCGCCAGCCAAGCCAGCTATAGGTGCTTCTGTGTCACTAAACAGATGCAGGAAATATTTGTTTTCGAGATCAGCAGAGGACTTCAACTTAACCACTGTGCTGTAGTCCTGTACTCGCGTCTCGTCGATAATGTGGGACTCTAGGGCACGCACTAGGACAGCCTGCTGTCCGATCTCCATGAGGGTTCGGTTCTTGAAGGTTGCCAGCCGGAATCTAGATGGGAGTCGAAGTAGGGCCACTGAGCAAACTTTTTACACGTCACCGAGACTGGCATCGGAAGTAGATTCAAACGAATTGTTAACGATGAGCATTGGTATGCGGTGGGGATGCATAAGCAGTTAAGAGGGCATGGACCGAAGTAAGCGACATAGTGATAATACTTACGGTATCCATGGTTCTATCAACGTGCGAAATACTACCCGGTTGCCCGAGTCGACGTAGGAAGTTGTCTTAGGGGACACCACTCGGATCCTTTGGCTGAATAGCTTACACACAATACAGCGGAGTGAAATCAGCGTCTTCCCCCATCGAAAGCCAGCAACCCTTTACTTAGTTCATACGCACACCGTTTGGTCGGTTACCAAATAGGAGCCCAATCCTTACCCAATAGTTCAGCATCACATTTCTGGATTACAATGCGGCAACAGAGTGAAGCAAGGGGTAGTGACTTTATTTATTGAGGAGTCACATCACTGCCTCAGTGTTGTTAAACAGGCTTACGGGACTTGTTATAGGGAAAACGCTTGTTAGGCGGATACCCACCACATCCTGGTACATTGCCGCCGAACGGTAGGCTGGAACGGGATACTCCCGAACCCCCCACCTGGCACTACGAAAAGGTTGTTCGACAAGCTTGCTTTTGGCAAACAAACGCATAAAAAGATGGATAGCAAGAATTTAACGAATGTGGCTTGGCGAGTTAGTTAGTTGAGGTTTCAAGAGTGATCAGATGCAGCGCCATAGGGTTTGCTGCTGAATACCAATTAGCGAATCTCTGCATTGATTGCTTGATTGGCTCACCGTATGTACATTCGTTGGCGCTCAGAGACCACCGTGTCTCTATTCATACTACCTTTGACCTACGCCCTAGTGTTGCACCACATTCACAATGGTTGAGTCTTTAAAGAGCCCCACGGACGTCGCAGTTCCACCCAATAATATCCTTTGCTATTCGGTTCACGCATGAAATTAAGGTACCTGCTCACTCGAACCGATCAGAAATTCTGGCGACTCTGGAAATAGATATTCGGCCTGTTCTGGACTTTGCAAGTGCATTTCACCCACCAAAACACGCGTCGCTCTGTGTCTCCTGAAGCATCTGCATAGAAGTTAGTTTTGCCCCTGAAGCACTATATTTGTCTTTCGGTTATTTGGCAGTGCTTTTTACTCACAAGGCGCCATTCGGGGCCCTCGCGGTTACAAATTCGAAGTGAAAAGAAAAGATAGGACCAATACTCAAATATTTCCATTCCGGATACGATCCTCGCGATCGGAATTACCGAGATTTACCTCAAAGTGAGCCGAGGTCTCTATACTGGTTGCGAGTCACAATCCCACTACACATCATGTTCCCTAAATTCAACTTTAAGAAGATAGAACTTTACTTATTGGCCATTTGCCTCTTGGAACGTGGAGTTCAACCCCATATAGACCCATACAAAACGTCCGACGTTACATTTAAGTGATTTGAAGTAATGCGTGAACTTGAACAGCACATCCTTCATAATCGGACAAAAGTGTATCTAGACGATGTCTACTGAACCAATCGGAATCTTCAAGTCGATATACATACCATTAATCATCGGAAGCATGGTGAATAAGCGGTTGCCACAATCTTGGTTGTTACATAATGGGAGCAACTCAGACACGCATTTACCTCGTCTGTCGGTGTCAGCTAGCAATCCATCTCGATTTTACGGGGCCAATTGTTGTATTTTGAGTACAACTGATAAGCTATTATTATCGAGGTCGAACGCGAAAGAGCGAGAGCTATCCGGGCTTGCACTAAGGTGCGGCAGGAGCGTACATATGCGCACAAAGCCGCTTTGAAATCGTACACTCAACAGCTAGATCTATGACTCATCATTATCATTATCGTCATACACCTCAGTTATTATGTCGCGGTACAAAAATATTAGATATGTGAAAAAGCGAGCTACTAACCATTGCAGCAGACGAAAGAAAAACCGAGAAAAATGCAAGTAATATAATATGCATCGAGAAAGAGGTCATAATTGGAGAGGGAAGCTAAATTAGAGTGAAAAGAGAGGAACAGCGAATCTCACAGCACAAACGCCATTGAGCGCGGCTCTTCGCCATGTCAATCATTGTATCCAACCAAACACGTCCACCGTCCTTGGGACCCAAACCGAGCAGTCAGGGGGAAGCAACCGACTCCAATTTCGAGGTGAAGAACTCCATTCCTTCTGATCAAGTCATCAGTTGTTTTCCCCTCCTCTTCTTCCATCCGGACCCTAGGCGCGCAAACGCTGCACGCCGCGAGAGTCGGTGTGCCGACCTTCGCAACACGTGGCCCAGCCATCGAAAGCTGGTGCGTAATATAACGATGCTGAACGGTTCACTGGCTCTTCCTGTACAGAATACACTACGCTGAACATTCCCATTGCTCACGCTGTGTTCCCACTAGGAATGAGGCATGTGCGAAGGCAGTGTGGACCGAACGTCCGTCTGTCGATCTGATAAGTCAGGTTTCACAACTGCACAGGAAGGTTGAACGGACGGCTGCATTGTAAACCTTTCATTCAGGAGGAGAGCGATATCGGGGATTGGTAATAGCGCCTCGAGCTTTTGCTATATGTGTCCTGGTTTCATTGTCTATTCAATGCGCGCTGATATAGCTGCCGAAATACTAGAAATTCTGGACCACTAGCTGATCCCCATATAGGGATCTTGCCAATCTTGGAGAAGAATTACATTTCGAAGGTTCCATGCAAAGCACAAAACGATTGACAATCAGTGTGAATCTGTCTAGTTCAGATCGGCTCATTTGTGATTTGTTGCAGAATATTGAAATGTCGACGACATATTGCAAGTCAAGAACTCTATCACCTGGAAGCAAATCCACACTTTCTAAGTTGTGTCCAGTGAATGCCATTTCCATGGCTTCATGGATTACAATTTCAAAGAGACAAGGTGGCAGCGAGTAACCTTGTTTTAAGCCGCTGGAGATATTGTAGGCGGCGACAGCTTGCCATAAACCCTCACTCTGCCTGAACCATGTGCGTATATCGCTCTGATAATGTTTACATATATATTGGGTGCACCCTTTCTGAGCAGACAGTTCCAAATGTCACATCGATCCACCGAATCGAAGGCATCTTTGATGTCGAGCAACACAACGGTGGGTCGCCAATAAATATGGCGGTCTTCTAACAACTGACGTAATGTGGAGATGTGGTCAATGCACCCTCGATCTCGATGAAACCCGGCTCACTCCTTGCGTATGTGGCGTTCACGAGTGTCAGCCAGTCGTTGGAGGACGACGGAAGCAATTGAGATCGGGCTGATTTCACTACAATTGCCGCATTCTGAACGTGAGCTTCTTCTGAACATTGGTACTAGAACGGGGAGGCTCCAGTATGTTGGGGCAGTCTCCGCTCACACCTTCACTACTTAGTTTCTTAGACTGTACGAACCGTGTCCAGGTCGGCAATGACATTTACCACATGGACATGTTTTCTGCTGATTTTATCTGGTGGGTTTGCGGCCACTAACCCTCAGCTGTTCATCGAACACTTACTGTAATTGGATTCCATCGTCGTTTGATATACATTCA